TTAATTTTTTTATTTTAATTTTATTTAATTTAATTTTTTTATTTTAATTTTATTTAATTTAATTTTTTTATTTTAATAGATGAGGGAATTATGAATCTTGATCAATACATTACATTTAATCCTAATTTGTCCTTGTTTGCCAACCAACCTATGATGAGAAAAATTGTTCATTTAGCAATTGACAGAGCAATTCGTGAAGTAAGTTTTAAAATTCAAAATTTTAATTTCTTTATATGGAAATTTTTAACCTTTTTTAATTTCGAATTTTCAGATTATTGCTCCTGTAGTAGAACGATCTGTTACAATAGCGGGAATTTCAACCCGTGAATTAATTGTCAAAGACTTTGCGATGGAACCTAATGAGGAAAAAATGAGAAATTCTGCACATTTGATGGTACAAAACTTAGCTGGGAGCTTGGCTTTAGTCACTTGTAAAGAACCATTACGAATTAGTATGGTCACACATTTAAGAAATTTACTTGTGCAGAATGGTTTCAATGAAGTAAGTTTAATTATTATAAATTTGTAAACATATTTTTATGTAAACTCTTATATATATATATTTATTTAAATATTGTTTTATTAATCAGCAAAGCATTTCCGATCAAGCGATCTTGATGATTGTTGCTGATAATTTGGAATTAGCATGTTCATTTATTGAAAAAGCTGCTATGGACAAAGCTGTACCTGAAATTGATGAATCATTAGCTTCATCTTTCAGTAATCGTAAAAAACATCGCGAGGTCTGATTATATTTTTATTTTCTTTATATTTAATTTTTTTTTTTTTTGGTTTGTCAAACGTATTCATATATATTTTTTTCCTATTTAATAGCGAACTGGGCAACCATATTATGATATGACAGTTTATTCCGGTATTTCACGTTATATGGGAAATCTTCCAGAACCATTACGACTAAAGACCAATGGATTGCAACCTCAGCAATTGCGTGTTTATGAAGATTTCTCTCGAATTCCCCGTCTTAGCAGCCAAGCGGCGGCAATATATGGTATTAAATATTTATATTTAATAAATTAAAAGATTTAATTATAACAAAAATTACAAAAATTCTAAATTTTTTAAGGACTATTAGATGAACGTAATTCACGGGTTAATATGCATAGGGGACAAGAATTTCCTCTTGGTCATCCTTATAATTCAGCCGAATTACCATTTGAAGGCGGACAAATACACATGCCCATTTCTGCTCACCAAAGTGTAGAGAAATTTAATGTAATTAAAAAAAGTAAATTAATTTATATCTTTCGAAATTTTTACAATTCTATTTTTCCATCATTTTTTAGCAATTACTTTCAGAATTGGATAAACTGATAAGCAAGAATCCTCAGGCTTCATGGAATTCTTTACCCCCTAACAGCGAAATTCGGTATTATGTCAAAGAGATACCTCTTTTAGCGACTCAATCATTTAATCGTGACGAGACAGCATTACATTTTTCACAAAAAGTAGTTCAATTACTATATAAGAATGAATCTAACTTATCACGTGAAGTTTATGTTACATTACTTGAAAAATTGTGTGAGACTTCATATAAAGTCACCAAAGAAGTGACTGCTTGGTTGCTTTACGCTGATGATGAGGTTCGTAAAATGGATAATTTTTTGAATATTCTTGAATATTCTTTCTAGTGACCTAACCATTTATATAATTTTTTTAATGAAATTTGTTAGCGAAAATTTATAGTACCAGTAGTTATTGCTTTAATAAAAGCTGGTCTTATAAATGTTGGTGATCAAGATACCCAACTCGCCAAGCTCATTGAAAACGGAAGGCCTATAGTGATTGAATTCACTGCAAAATTAATTCGCGAAGTTATTCTGAAGGATCCTCCATATGCCACACGTAATGATTTCGTTAATTCACTGGATGCTTTAACTAGGCTTTCCCAACGTGGAAAAGCTCCTGAAAGGTTAATATTGTTTGAAATTTGATATAATCATTATTATTTATTTGATTACATTGAAGTTAATGGATTAATGTAATGATTTTTTCATTGTAACTTGGTTACGATAGCGTGATTCAACTTTTAGAAGATCTTCGTTTACGTGCAAGTCGAGAATCTCTAAATAAAGACGTTGAGAATTATGGTATACGTGAGCAATTGACTTTTTATTTTGCTGAATGGGTTAGAGTATATCAACATCCAACTTCAAATGAAAAAACCTATGCAACATTTATTATGCAGGTTCGTATTTAACATAAGATTCATATATTTTGTTTTTTTGACATTTTATGACATTTTATATATTTTCATTCGATTCATAGTTACAACAACAAGGCGTACTAAAAGGCGAAGAAATTTCATCCACATTTTTCCGTGCCTGTACTGAAATGAGTGTAGATCATTATCTGAAACAGAAAAGTAGTCACTCTTCACCTCATATAGCTTATCAAGCAATTGATGCCTTTTCCAAACTTATTGTTTTATTGGTGAAATATCATTCGGATTCTGAAGGTGTTAATCATAACGTTGCAAAAATTAATTATTTGTCAAAGATTTTATCAATCATTGTTTTGGTGCTGGCACAAGCACATGAACAACGCAGACAGCAATTCAATCAGAAACCATTCTTTCGATTATTTTCCAGTTTATTGAATGATTTAAATACTTATGAACAACAGCTTCAGCCTATTTATTACCAAATACTTACTTCTTTGAGGTATAATTCGTGAATTTAAGTTCTTGACGTATTTTTAATTTTTAATTTTGATGACTAAAAATGGCCTTTTGTTTTCATGATATCAGCACTACTTTTCATACTCTTCAACCATTCTTTTTCCCCGGATTTACTTTCGCATGGCTTGCCTTGATATCCCATCGTCTTTTTATGCCCAAACTGTTATTGGCTGAAAATCAAAAGGTTATTTTCAAATATATATATATATATATGTTTTTTTAACAAAATTTTTTCTTGGAATTTTTCACTAATTAATAATCATTATTATTATTCTTATTATTATCGTTATTATTAGGGCTGGCCCGCTTTTCACAAATTACTCATTTGTTTGTTCAAGTTTTTAGTTCCGTTTTTACGTAATGTTGAAATGAGGGAGACAACACGCTTGCTATATAAAGGAACATTAAGAGTTTTACTTGTGTTGTTGCATGATTTCCCAGAATTTCTTTGTGATTATCATTTCAGCTTTTGCGATGTAATCCCACCATCATGCATTCAACTCCGTAATCTCATTTTAAGTGCATTTCCACGAAACATGAGATTACCAGATCCTTTCACCCCAAATTTGAAAGTAGATTTGCTTCCCGAAATTTCACAATCACCACGTGTTTTGAGCGATTATGCATCTGCCTTGTATGCCAATAATCTTAAAAATGATATAGACACATATTTAAAAACACGCACACCAATATCATTTCCAATGGAATTACGGAATAAACTCATGAATGATAATAGTAATCAACCTGAAATAGCATCTACTGGATCAAAGTATAACGTTCCTGTTATAAATTCTCTTGTCTTATATGTTGGAATTCAAGCGATTAGCCAAATTCACAAGTCATCTCAGGGAATTACTCACAGTGCACCAATGGATATATTTCAACAGTTACTAATTGATATGGATTCTGAAGGTTTGTATATTTTATTATATTTTAAATTTGAACCTTATTCACTTTTTAATTCTTTTTATTCTTAGGTCGTTATCTCTTCCTTAGTGCTATAGCAAATCAACTTCGGTATCCAAATAGCCACACTCACTATTTTAGTTGCATCTTATTGTATCTTTTCGCTGAAGGCAATCAAGAAGTAATAAAAGAACAAGTGACCCGGTAAAGTATCCCAATTTTAACATTAACATTATATCAAAAATATCAATAAAATAAATCTGACTTGTGTTATCAAATTTTATTAGAGTTCTCTTGGAAAGATTAATTGTCAACCGTCCACATCCATGGGGTCTCTTAATAACATTTATTGAACTTATTAAAAATCCTCGGTATAATTTTTGGAATCATTCCTTTACGAGATGTGCAGCGGATATTGAACGTCTATTTGAAAGTGTCAGCCGGTAATTACTTTTTATTGGACAATATTTTATTATCAATTTAATTTAATTAATTAATAATGTTTTTGCGTTTCCTTGACAGGTCCATTAATCAAGTATAGAATTTATCAAATTCTTATCGAATAATACCATTAAGAATATCAACTTCAGATGCATCACGTTTACAACGCGAACTTATAAATTTGCCAATACCTAGATTGTTAGAAGAAGCAGAAACAACGCAGAAGAAAATCAATTGTACACGAAAGAGAACTTTTATTTATCTAAATTTCAATTTTCATTTTAAATTCATTTCATTTCATTTTTTCATTTTAAAAAATTAAAATTTTTACACAAAATAAAAATAAAAACAATATAAAATAAATTATTGTGAATTTTGTCACGATTGATGAATTCTGATATCGCTAGATATTTTAAAAAAAATCATTTAATATTTAAAATCGAAATATCTTGATTCAATCTGTATGAAACTGTCCCCAGATGATTCATGATTACGAATCTAACGAGCTGTAGAATTTAATCATTGGTTATCAAGATATAATAATTTGAATTTTTCGAACTTTAAAGGCAAACTTAAATACATATAAAAAGAATGGAATTTGTCTTTCTGATTCTTACAGCAATAAAGGTTATTCACGGTATACTCCACATTGCCGTAAAGAATCTGAAGACTTGGTATTGAATGTGCTAAAGAATTAGCACGTAAAATGGAGAGTGTTTATCTAATGTAGATATCAATCATTTACTTTGGAGATGTATTTGGTATAGTACTCTTGCTGGCAAAGTATAGTAATACATGATGTCCTTACTGCTCAAAATACAAAGAGAAAATTTGTGTTGAGAAGTTGTATCGAAATATCTTGGGCCACCATCTAAGATACGTCAACCTGATTTTCTCAAAATACCAAAATATTCTGCAGGATTAGAACTTATCCTGAATATGGTTTTGCAATCGAAGTGTAGGAAGAACAGCATATCAAATTCTTTCACAGAGATCCAATAATTTTGTTAAACAGCGAACACGAGATCAACTCAAAATTGTGAAGAAAACTGGATTGTCCTAAGATATTACGAAGCATCTGCGAGAATTAGAATAAACTTAACTTCAAATGTTTCATAATGTTGATATATGATGCGTTATTGATTTTTCATTGATATATATATATACATGCCAACCCTTGATATACAAATCATCATCATCGAGTTGCTAAAGTACTTTTGTTATGAATTTAAGATAATCACGCCGTATCTGCGTGTTTAAGGCGCGAATCACTTCGGTGCGATATGTCGGTCAAAATTATAAAAAAAGTTTAAAATCAATGATAGTTTTTCTTTACTATTGTCCTCGCCGTCACGTTTTGCACTGATACAGATAGTGTGTCTTTATTGCCTGTTTTACAATTTTTTGTTAGTCAATTTTTAAATTTTTTAGATAATATTATTTATATAATTCAAGTTCGTTCCGCAGAAGAAAATTGCGAATTTTAAATAGTGCATCCAAAACCTTTTGTCTCCCACTTGATTCTACTAAATCAAGACCAGTCTTTTTGCCATTCTCTCCAGGTCATCTTTTCACATAAACTGTTGTCGTATTTGGTAAACCACGACCAAGTTCTGATCAATATCCTGCAGTGATCATAGCTTTATAAATGTCACGTACGTTGAATAGCATATATGGTGGCACGTATGTTTTCATTCCCGTAAGCAACAATCTGTACAGCAATTTTTGTTTCCCCGAAACCACCTGTTCTATGGTCGTTTCTTATATGTTTGTCTCGTTAAAGGTTTTTGCATGAATATGGGCCTATTGTATAATAATAAACTAATACTAAAAATCTGACCTCTATAGAGACCATACCCAATTTTCGATTACTGATCACAAATTCGGGATCTGCTGAAATAAATTGCTTCGGATATATTCTGGTTTTGAAATACAAACTTTTAGCAAAATTAAGCACCTCAAAAACAGTACTTTCCTATAATTATTTACATTAACTTCAAGGGCCAGTCATTCAAGTTGGCAATACATCCACTAATGTGTCAGTTTTAGACTCCACTGCTCCTATTATCACATTTTCAATCATCACATCATGCATTTTATCAAGAAACGTTTTGACTCGATTATCCGAAACATTATCAAGCTTGTCAACATTAAATTTTGGGTCCGAGACCTCAAGGCGATTGATTTTGGGAAGAAGATATTCTTTCAGAACTGTGACTGTACAATATGTGAATTAACTGTCAATTTTTAATTAAGTTATGACAAAGACAATATATACCAGAATCCTTATAACTTCCTCAAAAGATGCTGACTGGAAGTACACTACTCAAAAGATACTGGCTAGAAGTACACTCTCGATAGTTCTACTTCAATTCTGATGCCGATCTGGACTTAATCATAGCATTTGTGGAAAGTAGCTTAGAAAATAAAACAGCAGATCGAGGAAACCTCGCAACTTGATGGAATAGTGGGACTATTAATGTCATTTTTATTGACCACTCTTTTTTATAGAGAGTCTTTATCTTAGACCCCGTTTTTAAAAAAAACTTTATTTTTATTATTTATTAAAAATATATTGACAATATCTAGATTCTACTATGTATTATGTATTTAAAATTTAAATATTTCAAAATCTGTTAAATAGATTAATTAGTATTCTTGAGAAAAATATCTACTTTTCAATATACTTTTAAGCTACCTTCGCAAAAATAAATATTTAAATGATTGAATACTTACTGAACAACTTACTTAGTCACTTAAAAGAAGTTTGCTTTGATCAAATGTTAAAATAATTTAGTGAAATTATAAAAACATTAAAATTAGTGGGTGCAAATTTTTTACAAAAATGGTTATCTTTCTTTGTATTTGTAAGCTAGCATTGTGAAAATTAATACTTGAGTGCTTTAATACTATTTGAATAACTTTATTTAGTGACTTGAAGGAAATTTACTTTGGCAAAAGTATTTAAAAGTTCTAAAAGTGATAAAATTTTATGAGAAAATAATTATCTTGCAAGCTGGCTTAGTGAAATAAATATTCAAGCAGTTTCATACCTGCTAAACAACTTTACTATTGACTTGAAGATAATTTACTTTGACTAAAGTAACAAAATTATTGTAAAAAGTTTTAGAAGTACACATAAGAAGTATTTGCAAGATAACTAAGCAAAAATAATATTAAGAAGTTCGATATCTCTATTAATGATTACTTAAAGGTTAAAAAATCTCAAATATAAAAATATCTTATTATAATAAATTATAATGAGTATTGTTAAACAAAAATCATGAAGATTTATATTTAAACTATTTGTACTAGGTGAAAATTCATAAATACTATACTTATTGGTTACCAGATAAGTAATAAATAAGTAAGTAGGTATCAGTATAACGCTAAGTAGATAACACTATATATATAGTGTTATCTACTTAGCGTTATACTGATACCTACTTACCCTATATTGTTACCTACTTATGGGTATACTGATATCTACTTATTTTATAGCTACCAGTTTTGGCCTCTAATAAGTCTGATATTTGCTTCCTTTTAATGATTCAGGTGATGTGTAGATTGCATCTGCATCGTCATTCAAGAGCCATCGTGATACAATGTGCCATGGCTTGACAATTGTAGCCAATTTTTGCCGTCACCCACCTGCGACATACCATATGTCGGTTTGGCGATCGTGGGCCCGATGTGAGGGCTAATGCCCGAACTTGGCACGTAGTGCCCTAGCTTTCTGGTTAATTCCTCTATGAGGGCCAGAGTTGAGGCACGTAGTGCCGAAATAGTCCCACCTGGAAGGTCCTGATGCGAAACATAGTGAAGTGTCTATTCCCACCTGGAAGGTTTTTGGAATGACAAAAAATATATCAAACCTGAGGCACGTAGTGCCGAATTGTTATCTATTATATTACCCAAGGAAGAGGCACGTAGTGTCGAATTGTTACCCTTACTCGGTGACCCACCAAAGCACAATTTTATTTTATATATATATCTGTAATAATTATTCCTTGGTGGCCACTTTTTTTTATTCGAAATATTACTTATTTAATGCACTCAAATATTACCCGAGAATGAGGCACGTAGTGCCGAAATGTTATCAGTTGTTAGCTTCACATAATTCATTCAAATATCATCCGATGGTGAGGCACGTAGTGCCGAATTGTTATCCTTACCTAGTGACCCACCAAAGCACAATTTTATTTTATATATATATCTGTAATAATTATTCTTTGGTGGGCCACTTTTTTTTTACTCGAAATATTACTCAAACTGAAAAATCTTTGGTGGGCCAAAATTTTTTGGCATAAGTTGTCTCTATTAGTACTACTCAAAGCATACACCACACACATATTATAATTTACAATGCGATCACTTTAGCCTACCACTTATCCTAAACTGTATCTCGATCAAAATTGCGCGATACAAAAATGGTTATCAATTACGTACCTTATATATCGGAAGCACTTACATGAAATTTCACCTTCCATCTCGATTGGCTAGGTATGTGAATCGGAACCAGGACCCCCTTTGTATAGAATGCCTAGCAATAGCCTGTTATCTTGAATTGGGCGACACAAAAACCCCTTTATATGATCTAGGTAATAGTATAATAATTTTTTATTTGAATTTTTCTTATACTTATTCGTAAGAGGCGACAAAAATCCCTTTACCTAAAATGTATGTCTAGATAAATATAGTAATATACTCCCAGTCAGAGTATATTATTATTAGTTTCGTTAATATTAATTTCATCACTTACCCATATTCAATAAGTGCTAAAGATTTATTTTTCAGCTCTTTTTTGTGCGGAGTAGTAGGAACTTTCATTTTAGTCTCAAAATTTTGCTTATATTCCAAGAAATCTGTTTCATTCATGCTTAGGCGTTCTTTTTTCCAATAATTTTGATTATCTCGCATTTCGAAAAGAATATCGCTTTTCCATTTTTCCAATTTTTCTCGGGATATTTTTAATTTTTGCTGTAAATAAAAGATAAGTATATCTACATCAGATTCATTTTTAATGAGAAATTCTGAAGATAAAGAAATTAAGGATTCAGGTATTTCTTTCTTAGTTTCAGTAATATTTGAGAATTGCTCTTCATTATTTGACTGAGTTAATTCTATAGAGGACAATTGTGGCAAATTTTTCAATGATTTTTCAACTATATTATTGTAAGAACTCTTTTCACGAATCTCATTGCTGGATGATGCAGAGCATCGAAGCTTTGCTTCCTCTGAAATGGCGATATCAGTAGTAATAGCAGAGCTAGTGTCAAGACATATGGGTATTGAATTGAAAAGTTCTTGAGTTTCATCAATCGATTCTGACTTGTATGGTGGAAGAATTAGATCTGTAGGGTGATAATTAGGAGCATTCAACTTTATAGCCATTATTCTTTCTTGAGTTATAAAACTAACTCCATTA